GACAGTTAAATGTTTAATTATTAATAAAAAGGATTGGCGAGGGAGTGGTATGCAAACCAATTTATTATATTTCCTGTTTCTCAGAAGCAAGTGTCCTCCCATCTCTCCATACACACATACAATAAATACAATAATTAAAAAATGATTCCATTGCAAAACACCACTCCATTTTAAGAACACTTATAATTTGTGATGTCCAAGGCAATTTTAGGCACCAGATGGACCATTGGGAAACACAAGTCCTGGTCCACTCTTCCACTGAATGGTATGGTGTTTTGAAGGTCTGTCCCTCTTGCAGGGACTTGGTTTCTTGCCTTAAAGATTTAATGATCAGCTAGAGGACCCTGAGTCCCATCCAGGCCATTGGTTGCATTAATTAAAAAAAAAAATTTAAATGGACAGTAGGGAAACCTGAGGAGTTTAAGTCAGACCTGAGGGACAAGGTGGGTAAATTCCTGAATGAGAAAGCCCATACTTCTACCTGGAAAAGGATTCTGAAAGGTTATGCTCTCTGGAGGCAAGAGTGGGCAGGCCCAAAAGTGTGAGCACCTGCCCCAAGGGGTGGGTCTCTGGCATTTATAGGTATATAGCTTCTTATGGAGATGGCTATTCCTCCCACTTCCTTATGTCCTCAGGCATGCTGTTTTTCTTCCCAATTTTTGGCCTAGATTGGTCTTTAGGTCATAAAGAAAAATATTCTCTCAACACAGGAAGTGCTTTACCATTTACATCAAAGGAAGTTGTCGACCTTGGCCAAACACCTGTGGTGTCCACTGTCTATAGCAAAGACATTGTTCTAGTTAGCTTTCTATTGCTGTGTAAAACACTGACCAAAACCAGCTTGTGAAGTGATAGATAAAAATGTTGGGAGAGAGTGTGCGGTTGGTGGAGAGCATGAGAGGATGGATGAGGCACCGTGGCACAGATGGAATTCTCAGCTTTATTTCGCACAGGGCACATTTCCCTTGGGGAAGGGAAAGATGTCAGCTCACAGGTTGTGAGCTGGGACTTTATATATGGGGGCTTTAGGGTGTGGAAGGGGGGAATGTTTGGGGGAGAAATCAGGGCAGGGGAAGCAGGTAGGATTAGGGTCTGGAAGTGTTTACTTTTTCCCTCTTAAGATAAGAGGAAATCTGCTTATCTTATCTTTGGAGGTCAGAGGAAGGGAAGGCTGCTTTTCAGCAGAGTTAATTCTTCTTGACCTCAAAGGTCAAGGTGCTTCTCAGCTAAGTTCCCTTTTTCGGGCTCCAAAGTCTGTAGGTCCCTGTTGGGGAGGGGGAAGCTGCTGCTGTTTGGAACCCTAACAGGAAGGAGAAGGTTTAATTGGCTTATACATCCACATCACAGTCCATCTTCAAGGGAAGTCAGGGCAGGAACTCAGGCAGGAACTAAAGCACAAACCATGGAGGAATGCTGCTTGTGGGCTTGCTTCTCTGGCCTGTGCTCAGTCTGCTTTCTTATGCAACCCAGGACTACCTGCTCAGGGGTGGCGTCATCACTAGTGGACTGGACCTTCCCATATCAGTCAACAGTCAAGAAAATGCCTCACAGACATTGCCCCACAGGCCAATCCCATAGACCAGATAACCCCTGTTAACCAAGACAGGATGTACAATGAGTTGACAACTTGGGTTCTCAGCATTTTGGAAAGTTTTTGACCATGAGAACTGGTCTCTGTGGAACCTTTCTTTCCCAGGTCTTCTGCTCTAGATACACTAACACACTGCCCTTTTTCCGTAGCTGTTTACACATTTAAATCCAAATCTTCTCTCTTTCTTCATCTAAACGAAATAATCATGAATTGCAACTCAGTCTGCTGTGGTCCAACCAAAGTCATCCTGTGTTATCTGTTGCTGTAGAAATGGAACTCAAACTTGTAGGCTCTCTCCTCCAAGTCTTCCCACAGAGGTTGGAATTTCTGGAAATGCGGCTAGGAGTGGCTCTGGTTTGTACTGGCTTCTTCCTATCAGTTCCTACCATGAACAATTACTGGAACATCAAAATCTTATCTTCTTGGAAGAAGAAAAGAAAATGTTAATTATCTGTTGATCTTGCTCTTTAAGAATGAAAAACACTGTTCAATGACTGAAGATTAAAAAGAGACAGAAGATGCCAGGCATGGTGGTGCATGCCTTTAATCCCAGCACTCAGGAGGCAGAGGCAGGTGGATCTCTGTGAATTTAAGGCCAGCCTGGTCTTCAAACTGAGTTCCAGGACCGCTTGGGCCACAGGAAGACCCTGTCTCAAAAAGACCAAAAAAAAAAAAAAAGAGAGAGACAGAAGATTACAACTTAGTGACATTTTAAGTGAAACCCCTTTCCTTTTAGTTACTTGCAATCCCCGCTTTTCTTATCAATCTTTCTTTTCTTAGCTTGTTATTTCATTGATGTTTTTATTTCCCATGCAGGTCTCTTTAAATTTTTCTCTATTTTCATGTATGTTTTCAGAAGAGGTTGGGTGGGAATGGGACAGAGCCATCAGTCAGACAGCTTTTTTACCAGGAAATTCCCAAGCTAAGTCTCATGGGGTTCATCCTATTTAAATAGGTTCTACAAGAAGTTTCTATGCAGACATGTCTTTCTGTATTCTTCCATGCCTAAGCATTGCTGGTCATGCTTGTCAAAAGTCAAAAGTAAAAAGCCCGAAGGTACTTGCCACACCTTCTTCTCCTTTCATCTGACTCAGGTCTCTCTGAGTTCTTGGCCAGTGGACAATGTGGGACCCACCCCACAAAGCAGAAGGCACAGGAGCACAAGGAAAGGACATTCACAGGGCACTGGAATGACTCCTTAGCAAATACTCAGATGCATGTAATCCTTGTTTACCCAGAGAGTTGTCAGACCTGCTCAAAGAGCCTCAGCCCTTACATTTTCACCTCTTACAAAGTACCCTCATTGGAAGTATTTGGCTACTTTGCATTTCAATTTCTTCACATACATGTCTTACTGAGTTTCTACAAATGTCTCTATAACTAGAAGCAGAAGTTATTTGTTGAATGGGTGAGTGAATGAACAACTGAGTGAATTCTTTTTCCATCTTTTCCCTTTTATTTTCCCATTTCACAAAGTTGTCAGTGTGGTTCAAATTATGCTGAAACGTGGAGTTTATAAAATATAAGACAGTTCTCTCATGTTTTGCACTGTAAACATAGCCAAATACACACAGCTGGAGAGGACATAGATCCTTTAAAAAAGCCCTATCTTTGTCGTATCTCTGGACAAATGAAATTTCTTACTGTATGCTGAATATGGATCCTCATGTTTATAGAGAAGTATGTCAGTCACCGCTCATCATAGAAGCTTCTTTTTGCAACAGATGGAGGCTATTACAGAGTTCCACAATTTGTTCCACAGAGAATAGGTGCCTGATAGATGCCCAGCCCCAAGTGACACATATACAATGGAACCTCTACACCTAAGGCTCATGGAACATAGAGGAACATGGGGTAGAGAGAATACTAATGTATCTCTCAACTCTTACCAGTGAAGTGTCCTCATGCAACAGAGAGCAAAGCACACAGAAGACCACAACTGGCTAAAGTGCAGAGAATAAGAGACTGCAGAGTGCATGTCCCTGAAGAGGACTCCTATGCTGAACTTCACCCATCCATGGCTCAGGGATTATTGTGGAAGAGGAGCAGAAAGATTGCAAGAGACAGGGTTGATGAATGATCATAAGGAAATGGAGCTTCCAGGCCTCTGGGAACTAGCTCATATAGATCATGCTAATCCAAGCAGACAAAAACTGGGGAAATGGACAGGAGGCTCCAACCTTAGCTGAGGAACTACTGAAAACTGATTACTGCTGGGTGAGGGAGAATTGATCTTCTTTAAGGGAGTGACTCTAGATAGGTTGACTACACTCTGGTGGATGAACTTGTACCTAGGGACATCTGGGTACACAAACTTGACTCAATAGGCCTTAACATATATGATGGAATGCAATATGTGAAATCTGGTTGGGGGAGGGGATGAGGGGCATAGATGGAGAATGGGTCTAAATATGATCAAGATATATTGTATGAAATGTACAAAAATTCAATAAAAATATACACTGTGAAAAAATAAAGAATAAAATAAAAGACATTTCTAAGGAGCAATGTGAAAGCTGGTGACATGCACTATAATAGCAGCCAAGGACTTGGCTGTGTTGACCTTGCTTACACGATTAACCATTTTGCACTCTGTCTCCTCGGGAGACAGGAATGGTAATCCTTATCTCATAGGACTGCCTTAGGAATTTAGTGAGGGAA